TCCATGTTTCATGGTCATGCACTTGCAGTTATCACTCATTCAATGTGTTAGAGGGTTTTCCCTTTATGTCTTAACATGAGCCATTGTGTATGCCTTCATACCTTAGCTTGCAAGCCATCATTTCAATGTGTTTTTGGGGTTATTATGCTATGATATAACTCTGATTTTTGTTGGTTAAGTCACCCCATGCTTGGCCTTATTAGGTGTAGTGTAATCCACCTTATTTGTCTTGTATGCATCATGACTTATGCCCTTCATACTAGCTTATTTTGGCTTCCTTCCATGCATGTTTTAGACTTATTTTAACATGTTCTAAGACTGTTTTGAGTTGCCTTGATCACATGCTTCATGTTTTGCATACTTGTAGTACAAATGCTCTTGCTTGCTTCAAGCTTTGAGCACCATTGCATGCTTCATTTGTGTTGTGTACATGATTTGGTATTATCTAACATGTCATTTAAGAGCTTTTAGCATTGTCGTGTTCCCACTTCATTCACTCTTTAAGTGTCTTTGAGTGTTGTGCATTGTTGCCTAGTTTGTGGCTTAGCTTGTATGCTTGCATGCCTAGGTCTTTGAGTCCCCATCTCAGCATGTATAGGTCTTTGTTTTGACCTCCTTGAGCTCTGTCCATGCTTAGTTCGTGCTTATTTGCCATGTATTGCATGCCCCTTTTGTAGTCCTCTTTATTAGCTTTCATGCTTTAGGACCCTAGCATGTTTTACTTGCATTGTTTAAGTGATTTGGCATCATTTCTTGTCTAATTTCAGTGCACTTAGTGTTGTCACGCTTGCACATTTGTCACTCTTCGAGCCTTCTTGAGGGTTGTGCTCTTAGGCCTAGTTGGATGGCCAATGCATTGTGCATGCATACCTTTGTGCCTTAATTTTATCACCAACGGCCTCTAATTTGGGCATGGTTGAGGCCCATCCATTTTGGTTTAAGCCCATTGAGCATTGTGTATGCCATGAGGTCCATCGCATTGTGTATGCTAGTTGTTGTTTGCATTGAGTTTGCATGTCCCTAGCATTGATAAGTTGCCCTTGTTGCATTGCATTGTGCATGCATGTATTACATTGTGTTTAGAATCTAAAGTTGCTTTGCATTGAGCATGCATGCCATCGAGCATTGAGTATGCTATATTAAGTTGCCTTGTATGTTTGCATGCTCTAGTTGCATTGCATGTTTGAGTCGCATTGTGTATGCCATGCTTATGTTGCATTGTGTTTGGAATAGGTGTTAGTCCAAACACGAGAAACGAGGGACGTTTCATACTCAAAGTGATGGAACGTGCCTCAATTCTCGATCGCCGACCCTCTTGATCGACGCTCTTGATCATACATGATAGAGTTCTAGGCTTTATGTGTTTACTTGTGCATTCATTTTCATATTGAATTGTGCAACTTCGCTTCTCGGCCATCACGCATTGAAATGCATAATTGGTGGCCCGAGGGTCGAGAACTACACTCCCTTGAGTTAATGACATGATAGGGAGGGTGGTTGTGCACACATATCTTGCAAATACATTGCCATGCCCTTTCTTGCTCTCTGTTGTAGCAAATTGCAGTTCAGCAGCAACAACTGGTCGGCCAGCCAAAAAAACTAGTTGGCCGACCACTTTTTCTAGCTTTCAACAAAGATAGGTGGTCGGCTGTCACGACCCCAACCTGCCCCTAGTAGGATGGTGCCGTGATGGCCAGTAATCCGAGATTACCGAAGGCCACTTACAAAATTCACACACAATCAGAGTATAAATATATGGGGCTCACAAGTACGGAAGCAACACATACAAATCAGATTAGTCCATAAGAGCTGTGCGTAAGTCAAATGAAATAGCAAACATCTTCACATGGGTTATAACTTAGTTACAAATGAAACAAAGTACAAATTACATCTTGATCAAAAGGCTTCTCAAGCCGACATGTGCAAAATACAAGTATTACAAGTGGAGAAGCATAATTTTCAAGACTGCCGACGTGAACACAAGTAAAGCCGACATAACAAAAATCCAAAACAAGCTCGCGAATCACATCTAGGTGTCATCGCCTTCTTGCTCATCACCTACATATATATAGAGAGGGTGAGCTTGGATACTCAGTGAATGATATAAATAATAAAGGGGTTTGCATGAATAATAGCCGAAGTCTTTTCAAAACAAATACATATCAAAACTTTATATAACAAGGGATGGACCTCGTCCATCAACAAATCTTCAAAACTTCAAGGGATGCTTACTAGCATCAACATATTACAAATGATGACATTCCGGGCAAACAAATCATAACCTCGGCATCGAGCACACCCATTCATAGTCCGTCGGTGGCCGATATCTTAACAAGGGTGCTATTTAGGCTTAACGTCCCCTAGCACGAAAGGACTTACAAGACCCATGCGGTAAACCGTCAGTGGCAAAACAAGACAAAGCAAGGGAGATATCTCAAACAAGGGTGCTACAAAAGTTTAGAGTCCTCTAACACAAGGGACCTATGTTACAAAGGCCCGTAGCCCTTTAACACGAGAGTACTGCGAAAGTTTAGAATCCTCCAGCACAAGGGACTTTCAAAACAAGATGTGCAGTTGCATTATAGTCCCCTGGCACTAAGGACTTTCAAAACAAGATGTGCAGTTGCATTATAGTCCCCTGGCATTAAGGACTTTCCGAGGAGGTCATCAAAACAAGATAATGCTTGATACACAAAATAAGGACAATCATTCATGCTTAACAAATACTTTTCAAAACAAAGCAAAGCAAAGCTCATCAAAACATTGATAACATAGCTTTATTAGAAATACCACTCACATAGTTCTTCAAACGTCGGGGTCAAGGCAAGTCCCAGTCCTCAAAACTCGAATCTAACGGTTCAAGCTCCAACGATCAAGCTTGGAAGTTCACTCTCTTACTCAAAACTTCTCCTTCTCCTTCCTAGAGCCTCTCTCTCTAAAAGACAAGATTTGATACAAAATGATATGTTTTCTCGACAGTCACTGACTTAACCCTCTGCTGGGACACGTGGCATCGACTGATTGGCTCTACTAAAAAAGGTGACTGACTTGACAAGACAAGACCATGACAAAGTGTGTTCAACAAGCTAGATAGCAAGAGCACTCCGGTAAGTGATGATCTCGGCTAAGGGCAAGGCTTCGGCAAGTAGGGTGACAACGACATCGGCTTGGAAGGACAACACTTGACTAAGTTGTGCCACACATTGGCCTAGATGTGCCACACCTTGGTCTAGGTCGTACCATTCCAGGAACAAAATCACTAGGGTGCAAGGATAAACATATCGGCCTAGATGATACACATCTCGGCCTTGGTGCTGAACACCTCGGCCTAGATAGAGACATCTCGGCAAATATGCCAGGGTGAAGATGGAGGTCAGTCGAAGTGGTTCCAAGATAGTTCTAAGTGTGGAAAGGTTCCAAGGTGTCTAGGCTTAAGATGACCTCGGCAACTCACCAGGAAAGAACAAAGCATGCAGCAATACTCAAGCAAAACAAGACAAGGTTACAAATGCGTATAACAAAATAAAATCATACATAAGTGTATGCAAGTATGACTAAGTTGAAGGGAGGGTTGTTACATCCTACCCTCCTTAAAGAAGTTTGGTTCCCAAACTTGAGTTACCTTGTTCGAAAAATAATTCTGGATGTCGGACTTTCATTTCCTCTTCCATTTCCCATGTAGCATCCTCACTGTAATGCTCCTTCCATTCAACTTTCACCATTGGTATCGACTTACTTCTCAACTGTTTCACCAGCCTATCGATAATCCGTATCGGCTTCTCTTCGTAGCCTAAATCTTCATTAATTACAATTCCGAAATAGTCAATCACATGTAGTGGATCTCGAATATACTTCCTCAACATCGAAATATGAAATACATTATGGACTTGGCGCAATCCTGGCGGCAAAGCAAGTCTGTAGGCAGCGAGGTTAACCTTCTCAAGAACTTCAAAAGGCCCGATGTAACGAGGTGCTAACTTACCCTTTTTCCCAAATCTTGTAACTCCTTTCATCGGGGAAATCTTCAGGAATACATGGTCCCCGACTTCAAATTCCAACTCTCTTCTTCTCTGGTCGGCATAACTCTTCTGTCGACTCTGTGCGGTTTTGATTCTTTGTTGAACAAGCTTAATCTTCTCGGTTGTTACTTGAATTAACTCGGGACCAAGCAGAGCTTTGTCTCCTACCTCGGTCCAACATATCGGCGACCTGCACTTCCTTCCATACAACGCTTCATACGGCGCTATGCCAATGCTAGCTTGATAACTGTTATTGTAGGTAAATTCCACCAATGGCAAATGTACTCCCCAACTTCCTTGGAGGTTCAATACACATAGTCTAAGCATGTCTTCGAGTGTCTGAATCGTCCTTTCTGTTTGCCCATTAGTCTGGGGGTGAAAAGCTGTGCTAAACCTCAACTCGGCCCCGAAAGCTCTTTGTAGGCTCTGCCAAAATATGAAAACCAACTTCAGATCTCGGTCTGACACAATTGACATCGGCACTCCATGAAGTCTAACAATCTCATTCACGTACAATAAGGCGAGTTTATCGGCGTTGAAGGTGGTCTTAACAGGCAAGAAGTGTGCTGACTTAGTTAGTCTATCCACGATAACCCAAATCGAATCCATACCCTTTTGTGTCTTCGGCAAACCAACCACAAAATCCATGGAGATGTGCTCCCATTTCCACTCAGGAATCAGTAAAGGTTGAAGAAGTCCTGCTAGCCTTTGATGTTCTGCTTTCACTTGTTGACAATACAGACACTGGGACACGAACTCGGCTATTTCTCCCTTCATATTCGGCCACCAAAACGTCTGCTTCACATCCTGATACATCTTGGTGTTCCCTGGGTGAACAGCAAACTTGGAATCGTGAGCTTCCTGCAAAATTTTTCTTTTCAACTCTGGGATGTCGGCCACACACAATCTTCCTTCAAACTTGAGCACTTGATTTTCTATGGTGTACCCTGATCTCGGCTTTGTGTCAATCTCATCGGTTACCTTCTTGAAGAATTCATCCTCCATCTGTCTTGTCTTCACTTCCTCGACAATTGTCGGCTCCACTAAGATCGTGGTTAGACATGCCAGATTTCCAACCATCTTTCTGCTCAAAGCGTCGGCTACGGTGTTAGCTTTACCTGGATGATATTGAATCTGCATCTCGTAATCTTTCAACAACTCAAGCCATCTTCTCTGCCTCATATTCAATTCCTTCTGAGTGAACAAGTACTTTAAACTTTTATGATTTGTAAAAACCTGACAAGAAGCTCTATACAAGTAGTGGCGCCAAATCTTCAAAGCAAATACCACAGCTGCTAATTCTAAATCATGGGTGGGATAGTTCTTTTCATGTGGTTTCAATTGACGAGAGGCATAAGCTATGACCTTACCTTTTTGCATTAATACACAACCCAGACCCTTATGCGAAGCATCACTATAAACATGAAACTCTTCATTACCTGATGGTAGTACAAGAACTGGTGCTGCGACTAACCTCGTCTTCAACTCTTGGAAGGCTGCTTCCCTATCCTTAGTCCATTCGTAAGCCGCTCCCTTCTTAGTCAGTTGTGTCAACGGAATTGCAATCCTTCCTGTAATAACCTGCCAATCCCAGAAAACTACGAACCTCGGACACATTGGTCGGCCTCGACCAATTCACAACGGCTTCAATTTTACTAGGATCGACCGAGATACCATCTTTATCAATTACATGACCCAAAAATGAAATAGTGGAAAGCCAAAACTCACACTTGTTAAATTTAGCATACAATTTCCAATCTCTCAAAGTCCGTAAGGTAAGTCTCAAATGATCCCCGTGTTCAGCTTCACTCTTAGAGTAGATCAATATATCATCGATGAAGACAACCACAAACTCATCTAGATATGGCTTAAAGACTCTGTTCATCAAATCCATAAATGTTGCAGGGGCATTGGTCACTCCAAAAGGCATTACTAAAAACTCGTAGTGTCCATACCTCGTCCGAAAAGCGGTCTTCTCAACATCCACGGCTTTGACTTTAAGCTGATGGTAGCCCGACCTAAGGTCAATTTTGGAAAAGACTCGTGCTCCTTGCAACTGATCAAACAAATCATCTATCCTCGGCAACGGGTACTTATTCTTAATGGTTACCTTATTCAGTTCCCGGTAATCAATACAAAGACGAAGTGTACCATCCTTCTTCTTAACAAACAAGACGGGTGCTCCCTAAGGTGAAGTGCTCGGCCTAATAAAACCCTTATCTAGCAACTCTTGTAGTTGAAGTTTCAATTCCTTAAGCTCGGCGGGGGCCATCCTATAGGGTGTTTTAGAGATGGGCTGGGTTCCCGATATGATGTTAACAGTAAACTCTACCTCTCTATCAACTAAGTGACCTGGCAAATCCTTTGGAAAGACGTCGGGGAACTCATTAATAACTGGGACGTCGGCTAACTCAACACCTCCATTCAGATTACTTAGTACACTACACAAATAACCTTGACACCCTTTTTGGATACCTATAGGCTTTCATAGATAAAATTGAGGTGGGGATACTACTCCTTTACCCTGAAACGTGACCTCGGCTAGGTTTGGGGGTTTTAACGTGACACTTTTAGAAACACAATCTATGGATGCGTGATTTGCCACTAACCAATCCATCCCCAATATAACATCAAAATGAGTTATGTCCAATGGCATTAAATCAGCTAACAATTCAACATTCCCAATCACAACAACACATGCTCGATAGATGGATGCAACAGTCATAGATCTCCCAGATGGAGTAGATACAGATAACACATAATCAAGGGGTTCCAGTTTCCTATTAATCTTCTCAGCAAACTTAGCAGAAATGAATGAATGCGTAGAACCCGAATCAATCAATACATATGCACTTTGAGAGCAAATTGAAAGCATACCTGACACCACTGTCTCAGCATTTTGAGTGTCCCCTGGTACCAGTGCAAAAACTCTGCCTTGCCTCATCGATCCTTTTCCAGCGTTACCCTTCTGCACGGAGCCCGAAGTGTTCTCATCTTTCTTACTTTCCCCAGCCTTCGTTTTTGGACAGTTCCTCACAAAATGACCTACTTCACCACATTCGTAACAAGTCCCAGATGCTCGACGACAGACCCCGAAATGTGGCTTCCCACAACTGGAACATATCGGCTTAGTACCACTCTCTTGTCTTGGGTTGCTTGAACTGCCAACATTCGCTTTCTTCTTGGTACCAAATTGTGCTCGGCGATTGTCATAACTCTGCCTCTTCCTCTAGCTCTCTCCCGAACCCTGGTGATGGGGGGCTTTAAGCGATCTTGTTAGAATTTGCCAAGAAAAAATGAAGAACCTGGCTTCGAGCTCGCTGAAGATCCTGCTCCAACTGAGAGAGCTTTATCCTACTTGACTGTAGCTGCTGTACATAGGCCTATATATATATATATATATAGAGAGAGAGAGAGAGATAAGTTGGTATAGATCCCAAAACTATGAAGATTGTAGTATAAGTTTTAGACAAGTAATGATCATTTGGAGGACTAGTTTATATCATTATCTGCACATTTAATCTGGAAAACTGTTTTTTGAAAACACTATAACAAAAAAACTTAGTAATTGATTGGTTTAAAACAACCCAAAACAGTGTAATGGAAAGACAAATTTTTTTGTTATTTTAAGCAATGAAAAATGTGTTTTATTTATTTGTATAAGATAGGTGAATAAAATCATACTGGGTCCATAGGAATATAGGGTTTGATGTCTAATTCCAAGATAAGGTGTAAAAGGACTTGAATGTACAGTTTGGAGATTGATGTTGCTGTTGATGTTGTAACTAGAGGTCTACCTCTCCTCATGATGCTATGAGTATGCAAAGTGTGACTTTAAAACAAAATGAACAAATAAACACGTAGGCAAGTAACAATTAAGCATGCCGAGACGATGCACACCTTGTTCACATAGCAAGCAATACGATGCAATCCTAAAATCCTTCTAAGGGGAAATCCTATGCTCTTTAGGACTCAAAGTGTGTGAATAACGTACTATAAGGAACTTGTGCTCTGATACCATTCTGTCACGACCCCAACCCGCCCCTAGTAGGATGGTGCCGTGATGGCCAGTAATCCGAGATTACCGAAGAGTATAAATATATGGGGCTCACAAATACGGAAGCAACACATACAAATCAGATTAGTCCATAAGAGCTGTGCATAAGTCAAATGAAATAGCAAACATCTTCACATGGGTTACAACTTAGTTACAAATGAAACAAAGTACAAATTACATCTTGATCAAAAAGCTTCTCAAGCTGACGTGTGCAAAATACAAGTATTACAAGTCGAGAAGCATAATTTTCAAGACTGCCGACGTAAATACAAGTAAAGCCGACATAACAAAAATCCAAAACAAGCTCGCGAATCACATCTAGGCGTCATCGCCTTCTTGCTCATCGCCTACATATATATAGAGAGGGTGAGCTTGGATACTCAGTGAATGATATAAATAATAAAGGGGTTTGCATGAATAATAGCCGAAGTCTTTTCAAAACAAATACATATCAAAACTTTATATAACAAGGGATGGACCTCGTCCATCAACAAATCTTCAAAGCTTCAAGGAATGCTTACTAGCATCAACATATTACAAATGATGACATTCCGGGCAAACAAATCATAATCTCGGCATCGAGCACACCCGTTCATAGTCCGTTGGTGGTCGATATCTTAACAAGGGTGCTACTTAGGCTTAACGTCCCCTAGCACGAAAGGACTTACAAGACCCACGCGGTAAACCGTCAGTGGCAAAACAAGACAAAGCAAGGGAGATATCTCAAACAAGGGTGCTACAAAAGTTTAGAGTCCTTTAGCACAAGGGACCTATGTTACAAAGGCCCATAGCCCTTTAACACGAGAGTACTGCGAAAGTTTAGAATCCTCCAGCACAGGGGACTTTCAAAACAAGATGTGCAGTTGCATTATAGTTCCCTGGCACTAAGGACTTTCAAAACAAGATGTGCAGCTGCATTATAGTCCCCTGGCACTAAGGACTTTCCGAGGAGGTCATCAAAACAAGATAATGCTTGATACACAAAATAAGAACAATCATTCATGCTTAACAAATACTTTTCAAACAAAGCAAAGCAAAACTCATCAAAACATTGATAACATAGCTTTATTAGAAATACCACTCACATAGTTCTTCAAACGTCGGGGTCAAGGCAAGTCCCAGTCCTCAAAACTCGAATCTAACGGTTCAAACTCCAACGATCAAGCTTGGAAGTTCACTCTCTTACTCAAAACTTCTCATTCTCCTTCCTAGAGCCTCTTTCTCTAAAAGACAAGATTTGATACAAAATGATATGTTTTCTCGACAGTCACTGACTTAACCCACTGATGGGACACGTGGCATTGGCTGATTGGCTCTACTCAAAAAGGTGACTGACTTGACAAGACAAGACCATGACAAAGTGTGTTCAACAAGCTAGACGGCAAGAGCACTCCGATAAGTGATGATCTCGGCTAGGGGCAAGGCTTCGACAAGTAGGGTGACAACGACATCGGCTTGGAAGGACAACACTTGACTAAGTTGTGCCACACCTTGGCCTAGGTCGTACCATTCCAGGAACAAAATTACTAGGGTGCAAGGATAAACATCTCGGCCTAGATAATACACATCTCAGCCTTGGTGCAGAACACCTCGACCTAGATAGAGACATCTCGGCAAATATGCCAGGGTGAAGATGGAGGTCAACCGAAGTGGTTCCAAGACAGTTCTAAGTGTGGAAAGGTTCCAAGGTGTCTAGGCTTAAGATGACCTCGGCAACTCACCAGGCAAGAACAAAGCATGCAGCAATACTCAAGCAAAACAAGACAAGGTTGCAAATGCGTATAACAAAACAAGATCATACATAAGTGTATGCAAGTATGACTAAGTTGAAGGGAGGGTTGTTACATCGGCCATGGCTGCCGACACCAACAACTGGTTGGCCACCCTTCCACAGGTCCCCAAGGTGGAGTTTCAACTTTCTGGAGTTTGGTGCAATGTTCTGAGAACAATTGAGAATAGAGGCAAATCGGGGCATCGCATTGGATTTCCGAATGAGGCGACCGGGCATGCATGCATTCTCTTC